AAAAAAGTTTTACTGAAAATGTCAACAGAAACTAGGAGTTTGGCAAACTGACCCCTTTTACTCTTTCAAGATAGTCTCAAGCTGTCATCCCGGGTAGAGTGGCTGGCGTCACAGCTCACAGCAACCTCAAACTCTTGGGCTTAAGTGATTCTTTTGCCTCAGCCTCCCAAGTACCTGGGAGTACAAGGGCCCCACCACAATGCTTGGCTATTGTTTTGTTGCAGTTGTTTAGTTGGCCTGGACCAGGTTTGAACCTGCCACCCTTGGTGCATGTGGCTGGCACACTAACCACTGTGCTATGTGCACCAACCCTATTTATTTTTGAGATGATCCCAGTTTTCTTGGCCTTTGGAGTGATGCGGTGTCTTAGCTCATAGTAACCTCAAACTCCTGGGCTCAAGCAATCCTTGTGCCTCAGTCCACCACAATGTCTGGCTACTTTTAGAGACCATCTCCCTCTTGCTTAGGCTGGTCTGGAACTCCTGAGTTCAGGCAACCCACCCACTTTGGCCTCCTATTGCCCCCTTTTAATGTCTGGAAACATTTGGGTTCTCTTGTCAGAAAGTTCCATCAGTAAATGGTTGTACTCAAACCAAAGTTGCTATTCGTAGGAGTCCCGTGTTTTATGGTTATAGGCTTGCAGTTACGGTGCCCAGGGTCATTCACTAGACGTGTGGTTAACAAGGCAAAGTTAACATTTTAGGAGCAATTGGAGCCATTGGTCAGTTATGCTTTTTCATTTTTCATCAGCTGTGAGTGGTGCATTTTGAGGCCAGCACAAGTTAGAATTTGGTTATTAGAACCCTAAGGAAATTGAACCCTTGCAAGTTTGGGGGTCAAGGGCAGGAAGTGCCAATTTCAGATCACCAGTGAGACTTAATTCTCCCTCCAAAAAGCAAACAAGTATTCTGTGTTCATTGTGCCAGTTGAGTAGATTGATCAATACACTCAGGGATGAGAGGCATGTAAGTGTATTGACTACGTTAAAATAAAACTGGAAAGTGTACAGAGGGAGAAACCTTCAGTGGCATCTCCAAGGAAATGGCATGAAGACCCTTTCAGTCTCAAATTGAGATTTTTAAACACTGAAATAGAGCAGATTTCATAAACATTAATGGTGGGATTTTAAAAGCCATAACCTATTCCTAGGTTTGGTAGGTGGATAGGTAAGGGGCATTTACAAAGTTGGGGAACCAGGAGATGGTTTTGGAAAGGAACAAAAGTTTATGGAAAGTATAGTAGGATGTTGAGTTGGAGATGGATATTTCAGGCCTGGCTTAGGCTTATCTGGAAAATCACAATTCCCATCACCATTGTAGGAGTTCAGTGAATGTGGTATTGAGTGGGATGGTAGGTGAACATTGGTGTGGGGTGATAAATGAGAAGTAAGCATTTGGCTCAGTGCCTGTGGCTCAAGCAGCTAAGATGCCCACATACACCTGAGCTGGTGAATTCGACTGCAGCCTGGACCCACCAAACAACAATGACGGCTGCAACCAAAAAATAGCAGGGAATTGTGGGAGGCGCCTGTAGTCCCAGCTACTTGGGAGGCTGAGGGGAGAGAATCGCTTAAGCCCAGGAGTTGGAGGTTGCTGTGAGCTGTGATACTACAGCACTCTACCCAGGGCGACAATTTGAGGCTCTGTCTCAAAAAGAAGTAAGCATTTAAACAAAGTATGGAAAGGAAAGGAAAAGGTTGAGGTCTCAACTATACCAAAGTTGATTAGGTCAAAGTTACTTCTCAAGCCTCAACTACCATTTGAGTAGTATAATGGTTTACAGAAACAGGCTTGCATGGCTGGCAGCCTGTCCACTATGCCATTGGAAAATACCTCCCCTGGCATGACATTACTGTATAGCCAGGAGTTTGAGAAGATAGGTTAAGATTGTTCACAATCAGCAATTTCTTTTTGGTCCTATGGTGGAAAGAGCACATTTCCTAAGTTAAAATTTGGTTTGGAATCTCAATTTTCACTAGTTGTGGGATGACAGACACATTATCTTTACTCACTTAAAAGTCTTGTAAAATATCACCCCATCCTTGTAATATCTGAGTATATAATCTCCAACAGATTGTATTTGAGGATACTCTACCTC